ATGCAAGCATGGTTCGAGTCACATTTAAAGCGAAATATTATTTAGCTATGACTATATAATATTGTAAAGCCTTAGCAAAACGCTGTGAGACTAACACTATAAGTTCAATTTCTTTGAAACTTTTTACCGGTGGTACGGTCCTATGCAAAACCCCACGGGATACCACCGTCCACCATTTTTATTGCAAAGTAGCTGATGTGTTCCAGATTGAAGTGCAAAGAGAGCCAGCTAAATCAAAGACACAGACTGGAGGTCTTATTCCCGACCGATGATTTGTAGTGTCGTTAATTACGGTATGCTTATTTCATGGGACAAGCTTGCGAGTTGTACTGTCGACTGGCAAATGCTGTTCGGACAGTGTGTGAATATGCTTTTTGTACTCTTAGGGTCATGTTCAGAATGTACAGCTTTCTGACACTCAAGAGGTTGCCGATCTTATATAGAACATCCGTAGAAAATCTAAAAGCTTTGAAATACATGACCTTCAAAAGGGCTCTTTGAGCTCTCTCTACGTCAATAAACTTCATCCTGGTAGCCCCCCATACTGGTATACAGTAAACAATAAATGACTGAACAAGAGCTACATAGATTTGGTTAATAGCTCTCTATCCGTTACGGGTCTTAAAGTTTTAAAAATCCATGCTAGTTTCCTTACTCTGCCCATAATCAGTTCCAGATGGGAATGCCACGAAAGTCTTTGGTCAATTATAATTCCCAGATATTTATAAAAATAATAAAATTTAGGCGCTATTTATAAAAATGAATCTTAATGCGTGAACAGCCACCCTTAGTAGTAGATGATTTTCTTCAAAATAAAACGGGACCACTATGGAGGTACCCTCTTTCTTACAAAAAAAAATAATCATGAAAATCGATTCACAAATACCGGAGTTATCGCGTAACATGCAGTTGAATTGAGAACGTCCTCCTTTTTGAAGTCGGTTAATAAAATAGAATAGAATACGTTTATTTGCCAGAATACAGTTTAATTACAATTTAGGTATAATATAATCAACCTGCAAGCTTGTGTGCAAATGTAATGGAATTTATTGTGTCTTGTGTACAGTACATTGCATTTTATCGAAATATTCTTTACTACTATAGAAACAATGTGTCAAAAGCCATCTTGTCAATTGTAGTTTAAAAGTACGTCCTTGTAGTAATTTAATAGGGAGCATGCCAAAAAAGTTTTGACATTGGCTCCGCCCAAATTTGTGAAACAAATATATGCCTGAAATTCGCGTGACATGCGACAGAAGATGTTGAATTTTGCGCATTAAAAGTACCAAATTCGTTTTAGCGGAATAACTCTAAAACTAAAGGGATTAAAAAAAAATCCGTAGTGATAGTTCTCGATCGTGAATTAATATAATTAATTATCTAATTTTTGTCCTAATAACCTGTAGCATTTCGAGGATGAATCAAAAAAATGTGAAAATTAGAGGTCATTTCGTGATTTTTATCTATCGAGGAAACTTTATTGTTTTATGTTTCTGATTAGTGTCTATGCTTGAATATATCGTGTAGTTACTCATACAATATTTTATTTTTAACTTTAAAGTGAATATACCCATCTAAAATCAAATCGAAGATCAGGAATTTTTCCTCTGCTCCCTCTTAATGTCATTTGGTAAATTATTAAAAATCTAGATTACGTGCGTATTGAAGCAATCATTCGTATAAATTATTTTATGGCACCGAGGTTGGTATAATTGGTTCATAATTTTAACTCGAGTTTGCCGTTGAATTATTTCTGTATTCTGAAATGTCTAAAGTGAGTCTTGATAAACACATAGATGTCTCTAACATACATGCTGGCAAGAGGTAGTATATTGAGTTTTTTGAATAAAGGTTTGCATGTGTCATCTGGTTTACCGCCGCAAATTGCGCGAATGCATTTCTTTTGTACTACAAACGCCCTACCCACATCTACGGAATTTTCCCACAGTATCCTACCATAACTCAATACAGAGGAGACGTGCCCGCGATGAGCCATCATTTCGGCTTCGTGAGATACAGTTTAAACCGGCTGATTTAGTAGATTTATGGGAACATTAAAAGAGCAACATTAGACGAACTATAATCATTATTAAACCTGCATATCTAAGAAAGTTCACAACCTTCTGAAGAGACCTCTTCTCAGGCGGTTGACGATGATCATGAGTTGTTAGATTATAATGTTAACGAACCTCATTTTTTTGTTACAGTTCATGAAACTGCGTCTCAACTCTGATGGAAAGATAACGCATGTGATTTTAAACGAAGGACCAAAGATCCGATTCAACATTAATTTTAACTGTTACACAATTAAAGTGGGATCACAAAGAATGTTATCTGATGCTTATAGGTATCAATCGGTTAAAAATGGATCAATGCTGTTTGATGTCAAAGCTTCAGCCAACGGGCCTATAGTCAACGAAATCCGTCTTTCTGCTAATGAATATTTACATATAAGCATTAAACTTTATAAGGATCTAAATTTTCTTGAAACTGAATGGCTCGTTGGACCTATAAATGTTACTGATAATATTAGTAAAGAAATAATTGTGCAATATAATACAGACTTGTTTAACAACGCTGAGTTCTTCACAGACTCCAATGGTAGACAAATGTTAAAACGCATATTGTTTCAACGACCTACGTGGAATTTCACAATTATCGACCCAATAGCCAGTAATTATTATCCAGTTACAAACAGGATTCATATAAATGATAGAAGATATAGGTTTACTGTCCTAACTGATAGAGCACAAGGTGGTTCGTCATTAAGAAATGGACAAATAGAACTGATGCTACACAGAAGGTTGTTAAAATTGGCCAATACGGATTTGTTGGAGCCAATAAACGAAATCTCTCAAGGACGAGGCCTCGTTGTGAGAGGTAAACATAGATTATTATTTAGCGATGGTAATAACAAGAAAAATTCGATAAGAGAAAAGAAACAAGTCATAGAATTTCACTTACAACCAATAATCTTGATTAGTGAATCATCACAAATACCTTTAGAAAAATGGTTAAAACTAACCCATAAGGATGTTTCTTTTACTAACACGTTGCCAGAAGGTATACACTTGTTAACTGTGGAACCATTTGGGGATAATAAAATATTATTAAGGCTGGAAAATTATTTGGATGTTGGTGATAAGAAGCATGATGCTATAGACGTAAATTTAGCGACCATTTTCAAAACTATAACAGTTACAAGTTACAAAGAGACCAAACTGGCTGGCAATATGTGGAAAACTGATTATAAAAAACATCACTGGAGGCATGAGGCAGCATTTTCGACGAATTTCAATGATGATTATGGACGTTATGGTGACTTGAAAGCGGCTAAAGAAGGTGGAAGAGGTAAAGACGTGATTGATGAAGATTTTGTAATTAATTTGAGAGCGAAAGAGATTAGGAGTTTTATTGTTGAATACGAACATTTGTAGACGAAATATCTCTTATTATTCACCCATTCCGTACTTACACGTATATCTTTTGGGTTCATTATTTATAGAGGAGAAATATAAATATTTTCACATTTGCTTGTAAACAGAATGATTGCATAGTGGCAAACTTGACTATAAGTAATGCCCCAAATAAAACAATCGGGCCTTTTTTAACCAACTTCAAAAAAGGAGGAAGTTAAGGAAGGAAGTTCTCAATTCGACTGTTTTTTTTTTTGTATGTATGTTACGCGATAACTCCGGTATTTGTGAACCGATTTTCATGATTCTTTTTTTGTTGGAAAGGGGGTACTTCCATAGTGGTCCCATTTCATTTTGAAGGAAATCATCCACCTCAAAGGGTGGCTGTTCACGCATGAAGATTCATTTTTATAAATAGTGCCTAACTTTAATTTAGGAGCAATTACTTTTAGCAATTATTTAGTTGATTGTGCTATTTCATCAATTCAAGGCGTTTTTAATAATAATAGCTGTATATAATTGCTAGTTTATATGTGAAATTATTGTTAAATGAACTTATTATTAAGCAGTCGCAAATATGTAAATCTATCCAATTTAAGCATGTTTTATTGTATTTAAAAAAACTTAAAAAAAAATGTATTTAAAACCCTCCCCTTATGAGTAGAGACAGATGAAGTAACCTCAGTCGTTTTACAGCGTGCACGCAACAAAGAAAAATGCACCGCTTGAACGCCCCGCTGTACGCTTAGTCGTTCCAAATTAGCGGCCTAACGGTCCAACTGTTCCATTTGCCAGTACCCTTGTGGCGTCCATAAGGTGTATTTCATACAGTACATCAACAGCACGCTTCTGTATCAAGCGTTAAAACTCTCAAATGGAATCCTGTGGCTCCATTCTGAAATCATCAAAATGGAACCACGGTATTTATAAAGGCTTGTGTAATTTTTTTATAAAATAAGATAATCAACAACGAAAGTTCTTATCTGTTTTGCTTTGAAATGAACAATCATTCCACAATCATGAATTTCATCTATATTATCAGCGAATTTTCCTCCATAATTTCCATAATCGTCGTTAAAACTACACGAAAATTGCTTTTCCGTATTCCAAACCTTTTTTATATAATCCTCGTACCACATATTGGCTCCTAACGTTGTTTCTTTAACCGATATAACTTGTATATTTTTGAAAATTGCTGCCAGATTAACTTCTATAGTTGTATTATCCAAATCATAAGTTTCTAGATAGTTTTCAAGTCTCAATAACAATGTCTTATTTCCCCAAGATTCAAGTGTCAAAAGGTGAATTCCATTGGGAACATTGTGCATCCAAGAAAAAGTCTTATTCGGCAAGTAAAACCAATCTTCTAAACTGACTTGCGACGCTTCTGCGACTAAAACAATAGGTTCTAAATGAAATTGGATAACCTCTTTTTTCTCATTTATATATTGTTCTTTATTTTCCGCGTCAGATATTAAAACTCTATGTTTACCTCTGACTACAAGGCCTTCAAAATCATTAATTTCGTTTAGCGCTTCAAGTAAGCCTAGAGAATCATCTTCAAACAATCTCCTATGTAGCATTAATTCTATTTCTCCATCGTCAGCAGAAGTGCCACCCTGAGCCCTGTCTGTGAGAACAGCAATCTTAAGTCTCTCGTCGTTTATAAATATTTTGTTAGTGACTGGATAGAAATTGGCCGGTATTGGTTCTACAGTGTCGAATTCCCAGGTTGGTCTTTTGTCTCTTTTTCTCTTAATGATTTGTCTACCATTGGAATCTGTAAAAAACTCGTCCCGGCTTTTTACGTTTGTCATATATTGAATAACGTATTCTTTGCCTTTACGATCAACAGCGTTTATCGGACCTACTAGCCATTCACATTCCAAGTAATTAAGACCCTCGTATAATATCAGATTGTTGCGCACATCTTTAGATGATATGAATCTGACTTCTTTTACAATGTTCCCTTGTATAGTATTTATCATGCGCATGTCTACCTGAAAGTAAGTAGCGAAATCAAAACAATTGAAGACCAAGACGAAAGCTTAACGGGCTACACATATGGCTACTTTAGTAGCAGTAGAGCTAGTAGAGAGAACGCAGTAATGTGAGCATTACTGCGTTCCGGTTTAGAAGTAAAGGTGTTGTTGAAATTACAGGCACATGGGGACTTGTTAACTTATGTCTCAAAGTGATGGGTGCAGTGGCCCTCTGTTTTAATTTGTTCTAATTTCCATTATTAATTAATAATAATTTTAACTTAATAAAATAAAATAATTTGTAAAACAGATGTAGCGTAAATTGGAACGTTCTTTGTAAACTTAAAAATAAGATATTTAATTAATAACTTTTTAGTAACTATAGTGAAAAAATAGGGTGGTTTGCATTAATATTTCTTCCATCTTTGGAACGCCCTCCCGCTCCATGTAAGACAAGCTCAGACCAAATTATCTTTCAAACGCATATTGTGCTGACACATGTGTTTGACAATTGTGAAAATCAAGACTGTATAATGTTGCTTCAGGTACATATATTATATTATTTATTATTATGATATATATGTAAGTTTATTATGTATGTATAGTAAGTATGTTTCTATTATGTTATTTATTTTATACCATACTAATTATCGATTAGATTTCCAGTATATTGTTCTTCTTGTTTAAGTCTAGCACCAACCTATTGTGTTTTTTTTTCTGTTTAGCCCACTGGTTGACTGGTACAGAATGACAGTATTTCAGTATATTGTACAATAAAGTTTAAATAAATATAAATATTAGACGTAACTGGTTGATGACTGTACCACCTCAGTCAACCGTGACCATGGGACCTGTAAAGGGCCCGAAACGTCGGTTTGTTTGAAAAAACAAATACATGCAATTTAAATCCGGAAAAATAGTTTCATTTCCTATAGTATCCTGAACTTAAATAATAACAATTGCCACCCTACTACTTGTATTTGTTTTGTGTTTGTATAAATAATAATAAATTACACTTTGAAGGTCGCTGGAGCCAAAAATGTAAGCTCCGGACGTGTGATGTCCTTCCTCATGCTGGAAGTAATTCGCTGAGTAATAAGAATTGCGGATGGTAAACTGCATTTCTGTTCCATCTTTAAATATTATTTTTGTTACATCTCCGTTTTTATTGAACACAACCTTCATGTACTGTAAAAATAAAAGCTTAAATTAACATTTTGAAAACTCCCGATACAGTACATAGTACTAAAAAAACCGACCTCAAAAGCGCGTGGAATTACGTCTATTTGCCAAGTTTTAGTGGAATCTGTTGTGGAGTTTTAGCTGACTTAAGAATGTCGTCCAACTTGCCAAATGCGGCCCACCCAAGCTGAATTCTTCTGGTGATGTCCTTCATTTGACGCTCCTTGCCAAAAGATAAAATATGCCCGAGATAAACGTATTGATCGACAATCTCCAACATTTTCACACTTCCAACTGTGAAATTTGTGACGTTGGAGATGTTCACCATAACCTTGTCTTAGTCTTGGACATATTCATCTTGAGGCCCACCCACATAGAAGCATCATACAGTTGTCGCAGCGCACGCTGGAGATCGTTAAAGTTTTCAGCGAAGAGTACTAGGTCGTCTGCAAACCGTATTGATGTTAATGCCACATTTCGTCCAATCAAGTGTTTTACTACGTCTTCTAGGACTGCAGTAAACAGTTTTGGCGAAATGATGTCTCCCTGCCACACTCCCCGTTTGATTGGTACAGGGTTGGTTAGTTAATGCATTCGAACCTCTATAGTTGCAGATGAGTACAGCTCCCGAAGTACATCTATGTAGCGAGTGTCGATGTTACAGCGATAGAGAACGTGGAACACGGCCCAATATTCGACACTGTCGAAGGCCTTTTCATAATCAACGAAGGCCATGGCATGGGGTCGGTTGTACTCGTGACACTTCTCCATCAACTGCTTCACCGTGTGGATGTGGTCTATGGTGGAGAATTGAATTGAAACCGAGCAAAATTCTGAGGTCGGTTTTTGTTTTCAATGAAAAAGTTACAATTATTATTATCAACATATCATCCTGCAATGTTAAAGTTACAATTACTTGATTATCCAAAACAACATCTTCGGGTTTCACGGTAGGTAGAGTCGCCACATAATCCTCTTCGGTGGTTGTTTCTGTACTGACATTTACACCGAGATCGAGAGACTTTGCATCCACTCGATTACCTGTGATTTCTTCAATCCTTAAACCATACAAATAAAAATAATAAGTATCTATTACATATATTAAAATATACAACTTTATTTGTTAAAATATTAACAACTTTTCAGGACTATTACTAAAATAAAAAAAAATGATAATAGCAGTTAGTTTGAGAATTCACGTTTTATATATATATTCAATTTAATTTATACAAGTTAATTATAAAGATGAATAATCCTTTCAACAAGAGAATCAGATATAGATTTTATTTATTTTACGTTATAGATTTTAATTATAAATTTTAATATTTACTAAAATATAGTTATATATGTACATGATTTATTTTTTTATTCATACAAAATTTTACCAACATATAAACATTAGCTATTTAGATATAAATATTTTTCTCTGTAAAGCTTTTGATATTGCATTTCGGTGCGCGTTCCGGAACGGACGCGTCCAATACGCAGTGCGAATTATTATTATTCTAGTTTCGTGCGACATAGGCCGCTGCGCGTAAGTGGCAATGGGTTCCCAACAACTCATAGCCAATGAGCTTTTGGCGTTTGTCCAACGCGCCATCGATACCATTGACGAAGTTCAACTTCAACGAGGATGAGATTTGCATTGGCAAGATGTTGCTCTACGAGAGCCTCGCCAAAGCTGAGCAGATGCCATCTTGCCGGAAGGATGGAGGTGTGAAGAGTCTCCAGGATGTTATCACACTCCTGAAGGAGACTGATTCGGACGACGTACCTACGTTCAACCACGTCGATGTTTACAGGCTGCTGAAGGATATCACTTCCTTCCTTGAAGTCAAGCCTGGTTGAGTTGCAGTCTAGATTGGACACTTCAGATAACACCATAAGTGAGCTGCGTGCCCAAGTTGCGTTATTAAGCAACCGGAACGTAGTTGTCACCGTAATGATTTGGCAGAATAGCTTTCAAACAAATTAAATGACATTTCGTCTCTATTTCTGGTTATATACTCGATGTTTTAATTTACTCGTGCAAACAGTATTGTACGCAATCATTACATAATTACGTTTTAAAATCTCGTAGCGCTCGACCTTTAAGAACTCTCATTATGCAAAGATAGCCTAAACTACTATTACCAGTTGTTTTAAAGCAAAATATAAAACAACATTATTAAAACAACAACTTGCTGCAGAACACTTGAAGCGTGCTTACTGTAAAACTTTAAAAATAGTAAAATACATTTGACACAAATCCCTAAGATAAATAACTATTGAAATAATATAATCTCAGTACAGAGTACTAAAAAAACCGACCTCAAAAGTACGTGGAATTACGTCTATTTGCTAAGTTTTATTGAAATATCCCCTAGTTCGCCACTATACAGGACTTGACGCTTTAGATAATAAAAATAGGTTCTCACTACGACACTACACAAAGTATATTGAGAGAAAACCGCCTTAAATTGGAGAAATAGCAAAATCAACCATTAAAGTAATTGCTCCTAAATTTAAGTTAGGTACTATTTATAAAAGTGAATCTTCATGCTTGAACAGCCACCCTTCGAGGTGGATGATTTTCTTCAAAATGAAATGGGACCACTATGGAATTACCCCCTTTCCAACAAAAAAAGAATCATGAAAATCGGTTCACAAATACCGGAGCTATCGCGTAACATACAAACAAAAAAAAAACGAAAGAAAAAAAAGAACATACAGTCGAATTGAGAACCTCCTCCTTTTTTGAAGACACACAACTACACACAATGTCGGACTTGAACCCATGAACTTGTTTACTCGTATTGTTTTACTTTTCCTTTTTTTTAGACACTAATTATTATCATGCCAATAACCATAAATATAATCATATGTGCATTTGTTATTCTGGATATCGTAATGAGCTAGTTTATAAGGAATAGATATAAGATGAAATCCCTCGTAGCAATGAATCCCGCTCAATACCCTAAGGGAGGCTGAGACTGACAGCGCTGTTTCAGCATAAGCTGAGCCCTGAGCCTATGCCTCTTGTCTCAATTTACTTTTACTGTTTTGACTTCTCTGCTATGTATATATAATTTTTTTAAATGTAATTCTGAGACAATATAGTAGTTTATGTGGTTGTTACAGAATGAAAGCATAAAAATACGAGTGTGGGTTTACATAAAAACATCTCACGAGTGTTTTAATGCCTAATTATGTACAGTTCATACACTGCTTTATCTACACATATATTATAAGCTCTCTATGATGTGTTCAGGAACCGCATGTTACGACTGGCGAAATGGCGGCAAATAAAAACTTTTCTCACGCATGTCACACAACCGTAGTTTTTATTTTTAATTTATAGACAAACTAGAATCGGCCCCAACTATGATATCGTTCGATGTCAAGTAAAGTGTGAAATTGTCAAAATTGATTGCTATTGACATTTCATTTCGAATAAAACTTCATATCGACTGATATTAGAATTGAGGTCCAATCAAATTGTTTTGTTTTTTAGAGATGTTCGACATTTGAATGTAATAATAATAAAATTTTCACAGATAAGAAATTTGTTCTAACAAAACAGTTTATCTTTATTCTGGTCGTACTTTGCGATTTTTGAACACATTATAGAGAGTTTATGATATGTGTGTAGATAAAATTATTTTCATTTATGTATTTTTTATTTCTTTTTACCTCATAGAGTCTTCCATTGAAATATCAAATGTCGAGTCATTCAGTGCTGTGTCATGTATGTCGTCATTTACTGCTTCACGTTTTTTTATGTTACTCATCAAGAAGGTTTGATAAATGCTTCGGTTGTCATTTTCTAAGTAATAAGAATGTACGTAACGTTCGGTGGTCGTTTGATTGTAGTCGATGGTGGTTCGGCGGTTTAGCCACGCCGGGCGCTGTTGTCCAGCTTTTCGGATATAAAATGTTTTGTATGAAACTGCTTGAAGACGGGCAATAAATACGATTTCGTGTGTGGCATTTGATTCACGTAATGGCAAACTTAGGAGTAACTTCTGTATTTCTACTAATTGTGATTGTATTTCTTCACCTGTAATAAACACACCAACACATGTTATTGTACGTCAAAAGCGATTTTATCAAGGAAGACATTGAAATAATAAGGACTACATGAAACAATTAAAAACACCAAGAAAAAATATAATAATAATAATAATAACAATAACGCACACGCTCAACATAGCCCCGCACTAGGGAAACCCTGTGTCGCGGGTGCCATGGACACACACATAGACAACCACAAATTACACCCAAACTCAAGAGAGAAATAAATGTAGGCCATATATATATTTCTCCCGGCCCGGGAATCGAACCTGGGACCTCTGCGTGGCAGTCCGGCATGGTAACCGTTCGGCCACGGAGGCAGTCATATAAAGATGATTATGGAATATTGCCAGTTGATAAAAAGTAAAATTTGTGATGGTGATTAAAAATTATTATAAGACTGAGGATAATACATAATATAATAATAATAACGCACAGACCCATAGCCCCAGACTAGGGAACCCTGTATCGCGGGCGACATGGACACGCACGTATGGCACCTAAATTATTTAATAAAATACCAGATGCAGTTAAAGAACTAAATTGTAGGCAATTTAAAATAAAATTACATAATTTGTTAGTTACACAATGCTACTACAATATAAATGATTTTTTAATTGATAACATAAAATGTAAAATTTAACCACTGTGCGTGATTGAAATAAGAATTGTGTAAAATATTCGCATGCCAAGTTTTACAACACGTTTTACAAGTTTTAAATGTAGTTTACACCATTGTAAACTACATTTTTCAGCGAATAAATATCTTGTATTCTTGTATTCTTGCACAAAGACAAACACAAATTACACCCAAACTCACGAGAGTAATAAATCTGCGTGGCAGTCCAGCAAGAGAACCATACGGTCACGGAGGCAGTTATTAATTATATAAAATAGTAATTTGTTATGCAAGGCTGCACAGTTGTTCTTTGATGCGAGTGTTTGTATTGAAACATGAGCAAGCGAAGGGAGCTAAGATTGAACCACGAGCGAGGGTTTGAAGGCACGAGACGCAAAACAATTTTGCTGCCGAGCGAAACACACAACTTTTCACCTCACTATAGCGAGGAAAATGAGAGATGAAAAAAAAAAGAGTTGAACTATAAAACATCAGTTTTTTTAATTAAAAAAAAAAGTTTATTTTCGGATGCATTCAGAATTTGCACCTCATCAATTTTTATTCTTACTTGTACTTATAATTTTGTGTGATTGTTGAAATTATTTTAATCTTTCGACGAATTCGAATAATTTCATAAACAAAATGAGTTATCATTGTCAATTTAACGTCAATATTCGTCAAATTATTATTGAATAAGAATAAAATAATATATAAATAATAAAATAACGTCAAATTATTATTGAATAAGAATAAAATATACTAACGGATTTATGTTACATAAATAATGTACGACAAATCGCGTATTTGAACGTGTCATTACGTTTTTTTGCATCGAAAGAAAAAGTTAGTTTCACCACTCTATCGTCAAGTTCGAATTGCAAAAACTTTATTCACGCTAGAGTGGATAAAACGCTCCTAATGAAAACCTTTCCGAGCTAGTGAGGTGAAAAATTATTTATCATGATTATTGATGCAAAGATCGAACACTCAGAAAAAATTCCTTCGATCCGGCCGACGTTTTCTAGCATACCGTGTCAGACGCCACAGAACGAACCAGCGGCGAATTTTTCTATGTGCTTGTTGTCGTGTCTTTGTATTTGGTTTTTCAACGACTTTTTAGTCGTAGCGCCATCTATGAGAAATCTATGAAAGTTTTATCACCCAGTTAGATACCTTTACAGCTACCGGCCCTGGCGAGAGATGTCGCTATTCACTGTATTTTAAATTTTTATTGAATTGATATTCAATTATTTTTTAATCGATCGAAGGAATTTTTTTCTGAGTGTTCGATCTGTGTATTAATAATTATAACAAATTAGTGGAGTTATTTCACTATTATATATATAATAATAATTATTGATGTATAACAAGTATAACACATAAAGTGTTACAGAAAGGAAATTTTTGAAATAGTTTTTTATGCAAATGTTGCATAATGAGGGTTCTTAAAGCCGAACACCCGATAAAAAAAACATTAATAAAGATTCGAGTGATAATTCCCGTTCATATGGAGAAGAATCCGACGATTCATTATAATGAACAATAAGAATTTATTATAATTATTTACAATATATTTCATTTCATTATAATTTATTAGATTTACTTGAATTTACGCCGTTACATAATCTGTTGGCTCGATAAATATCGGAGCTAAAGAGCAAGTCGCTTCACTAAAATTAAAAAATAAAATTATAGTAATTAAAGTTTTATTGAATTGATATTCAATTATTTTTTGTGAAATTACTCCACTAGTTAATACAGTGAATAGCGACATCTCTCGCCAGGACTGGTAGCTGTAAAGGTACTAACTGGGTGATAAATCTGTCATAGATTTCTCATAGATGGCGCTACGACTAAAAAGTCGTTGAAAGACCAAGTACAAAGACACGACGCAAGCACATAGAAAGATTCGTGAGGTCCGTTGGTTCGTTCCGTGGCTTAGTTGGTATAGCGTCTGGCACGGTATGCAAGAAGACGTCGGTTCGAATCCGACCGGATCGAAGGAATTTTTTCTGAGTGTTTTTTCTGAGTGTTCGATCTTTGTATTAATAATTATAATAAAATTATAGTATTTCTCAACTCACACTGGCGCAGAGTCGAAGCAAAGCGATGCGTCATGTTTTTCGTCTATAGCATATTCATCACTATTTTCCCATTATTAAGGTACAAATTTGTGTTTTGCAAATATGGAATCGACGCGAGTCGCCAGGCGTTGTAGTTGAAAACCAGGACGCGACAAGACGCTTCGACTCTGCGCCAGTGTGAGTTGCGCCTAAGAGTATTGCACTTGTTGTCGATGGTTGTAATGTCAACAATTACGGAACTTCGGAAGCATGCACGGACGGAGTATAAGCTGTTGAATCTACATCAAAAAATGGGTACTAACCAGTCGGAGAAAAAACTTCGTAGATGTGATTTACAACAGGAATTCTCACCGGAACTGTTATGTTCCACGCAAGGGGGTTGTACATCGCAACCTAGAATAGTAATAATAATAATAAACACACTCTCATAGCCCCGAACTAGGGAAACCCTGTGGTGCTGGTGCCATGGATACACACTTAGGCAACCACAAATGACTCACGAGAGATGTAGGCCATACAAATATTTTCCGGTTTCGAAAGGTAGGGTTGCAGGCCATGGGACTTATCAACTTATGCCTCAGGGTGACTGTGATCTTTGTGATATAAAGCTTTGAGTGGCACGGCAACTGTTATGGACAGGCGTGTAGCTTACCATCAGGTGCACGACTTGTCCGTTCTATCACTTAATATTATAAAAAAAAATCTCCCGGCCCGTGAATCGAACCCGGGACCTCTGCGTGGCAGTCCAGCGTGGTAATCATAATGTGTGATAAATATAAAAGGTAATCGTATATATTTTTAAACCGACTTCAAAAAGGAGGAGGTTCTCATTCGAGAGACACAGAGTTGTTGTGTGCACAAGTTATAAACAGAGTGATTTTGAGAGAAAACGTGTCCATAAAATCAAAAAATTAACATAACTTCACAGGTTTTTAGTTTTATCGGGAACCAAACAATTTTTGTTAAATTAGAAGATGATCGTCAATGCTATGGAATGATTACAAAATCAATTTAATAAAAATTTTAATAGAAAAGTATTTGATGGTGAGATTGCGATACATAGCAAAATTAGAAACTAATGCTCGATGTATAGATCCGGAACGGTAGTAATAACATTTCCAGTTTGTAACATTAGTAGAGGAATGTGGGGTATTAGGAGCCCGCGGATGATGAGAGCAGTGTTAAACTGCACTTTCCCAATGCTTGTATTTGTGGAGACGGCACTCGTTAACGTTCGACAAGGTTTGGCCAGAAACGTTGGTTTGTTTGAAAAAATAAATATACAAAAAAAAATATAGAAAAATAGTTTCATTTCCTATGTGTAACAATCGCGAAAACCTAAGAACTCGAAAAAATAGAAATGTTTAAAAAAAACAGTAATTTTTTTAAATTCGATGTTACGCCGGTGATGAGAGCTATTTGGCTCTCCTTACCCCATTGCCCTATATCTACTGGATATTCCATACACCTTTAACACTTTCTTGTTTATTTTCATTAGTTTTTAACATAAATATTTTTATAACTTTAATTTATATATTTTTTCAGACCGTTTATTATAGAAAGTACCTAACAGAAAAAAAATCGGGAGGTTTTTCGCTGCATCTGGCAATTTTACACGCACACAAATGCGCACGTGCCTACAGTGCCCTTAGTTATCACGCAAACAATAAATGAAAAGCGGTTTCACGTCGTTTGTTGCGTATACTCCATCTGTCTATTGTTTTGTAATCTGAGCTGTGATAAACTGAAGTCTCTGCTATAAATACTTACAATGAACTGATCGCTATTTTCCGAACTGAAGCAAGATGACTCGTTGAACTTGCATCTGTTGAAAGTTAATTTCGACAACCTGAGAGCGTTGCCGTACATGTATTTGCTGCAACAGAAACAACATTTTAAGAATGATTCGATGGCGTTCTTGAATAGCGGTGTACCTATCCAAGAACACCTATTCAGCTTTTTTTATTTATTGTTACACTTTCAAATTTGCAATTAATAAAACAAAACAATGTGCATAAACCATCGAGTATATAACCAGAAATAGAGATGAAATGTTATTTAATTCATTCGAAAACTATGCCAGTGCGCAGTGTTCGAAACAATTGACGGGTGTCGTCAATTGTTTCACTTCATATTGACCAGTTCAACTTGAGTTTAATGAAAATTGCAAAATTACCTATTTCATATTTAATTACCGATGAAATGTGATTCCGTTTGTTTTGTTAACCGATTTCAAACAAGGAAGAGGTTTTCAATTCGACTGTATGTCTTTTTGTATGTACCTATGTTACGCGATAACTCCGGTATTTGTTTCTTTTTTGTTGGAAAGGGGGTACTTCCATAGTGGTCCCATTTCATTTTGAAGAAAATGATTCACCTCTAAGGGTGGCTATTCACGCATGAAGATTCATTTTTATAAAAAGCGCCTAAATTTTACTTACGGAGCAATTATTTTAATGGTTGATTTTGCTATTTCTCCAATTCAAGGCGTTTTTCTCTCAATATACTTTGAGTAGTGAGAACCGAATTTTATTATCTCCAGTGTCAAGTCCTGTATAGTGGCGAATTTAAGGATATTTCAATAAAACTTAGCAAATAGACGTACTTCCGCGTACTTTTGAGGTCGGTTTTTTCAATACTCTGTGCTGAGATTATTCATAGACATATGTCTAGATAGACGCCGCCGCAAGTACAGCAATTTGTATGAAAACCAAGCGTACCACATTTTTTGTACCCACTATGACGTCACAAGAACTATTTAGTGATGGATACCTCCTTCCGCTCGCCTAAATCGATTGAACGCATAAACACACGTATTCCTTTTAAGTCACTTTTCCATTTAATGCACTCGCACACACGCTTACATACACACACACACACTCACACACACACACACACACACACTCACACACAAATTTCACCCACAAATTGTCTTCTTATCTTTACTTTTAGATAATGTACTTACCTTTTTGAAAACTAAATAAATAAATTGTAATGGGGTGGGAGCCTGGTGATTTGTAATGTAACACAGGTCTAGTTACCTAGTACGAACTCCAGACTCTCGCTTAAGGTAGCTAACTTTAGATATTATTAAGTCTTGTTTAACATATAATTATAATGTACAATCTTCCTTATGTGAGAGTGAATAAATAAATATCTTATCTTATCTTAATTAATCGATTCTAAATAGATTTTTTTTTCAAGTAAGTATTTGTTGATTACAAGTAATCGTAATATTAATGTAGTAAAAAAATGCTATAATAAGACAATTAACGCCTTTATTTTACTTGTTTTGAAAAATGTCGATTACTTAAAAAAAATTAAGACCAATTTTTAATCGACTTCAAATATGAAAATTATTGTCCTTCCAATAAAATGAGCTTATTATATTACATCTTTTAATATTTATAGAAAATTATATCGATTAACTTAAATAATGAAAACACACGTCAATATATGAACTTGCGACTGTTGGTAATTGATCAAATTGATGAATGGCAACACTAACGAAAATGTTCATCATCATCTTCATCATCATATCAGCCGGAAGACGTCCACTGCTGAACATAGGCCTTCTCCAACGACTTCCAGAGCAGCCGATCGGACGCGACGTGCATCCATCGATTACCCGCCGCCCTTACCAGGTCATCATTATCATCATTAATTGCTCACGTTAAAGCCTTTTTAACTTACTTCAAAGCCTGCCTGACGACCGCCACTATACCATCAATGGCCTGATCTAAAATTCGTTCATAATCGTGAGCTACGTGGCCCCTTTCAGTGCCTGTGATCGCGTCGTGATGCTGAAGCACTCCTGAAAGTACGTGTTATAAAATAAAATTGTTATAACTGAATGAAGAATAGATAAGCGCCGCCAGTACCGATGAATGCCACTAGGGCGTTGCGTCGTCAGTATGCTAAGATTTTTTTGATAACACCAAGTGACGGGACTTGCTAGACCAGTCAGAGCTTTGAATCGCAAAGAACCGAAGGGCACTGCCAACGCGTCCTGAGGCATAAGTCGACAAGTTCCATGTACCTCTACCAGCACCTTTACCCTTCAAAACTGGAACGCAGTAATGCTCATATTACTGCTTGGCGGCAGATATAGGTAATGTACTTCCCTGGACGAACCCTTTCACAGAGCTCTACTGCTACTAGCCAAGATAACGACACACTTTTAGACCACGCAATACTCAGCTCAAGTCCCCACTCGATGTTGGTGAGGATATTCAATGAGATTTTAAGACTTTCGTGGTTATTCACTAAATGATTATCATTAATATCAGGTTTCTTACCACGGTATGACGCTCCATGGTTACGGGTTGACGGGTAGACGGGTTGACCAGTCAACCCGTAACCATGGAGCGTGCAACCGTTCCGAAATATCGGGAAAATAAAAAGAAGTCATACCGTAGTAAGAAACCTGATATTAGTGATAATCATTTCAATGAGATCCCGCCCATTATTAAAAATGAGGAAAAGTATCCACTGTTTGTAAATAAATTAATATTACATCTTATAAATAAATGTTGTTGCAATTTAAATGAATACTTTGATGACAAATAAAAATAATAATATTCTAATAAATTTGAATAATAAATAAATCTTAATTATACAATGTGTTGATTTTCATTCTCGCCATATTTACAGAGGTCATTCTATATCCGAAACTGAACCCAAACCACTAAAAAAATAAATCGAAAAAAACACGGCAAAGGCGAGGTCACTGTCCCTTGCGTGGTGCATACGACTTGAGACAATTTTGCAAAATAAAAAAAAAAAGATAATTACTATTATATATTTGTCTACATAATAAAGACACTATTATACCTTATTATGCCTATGCTTTAAATGTACTGACCCATAGCACTTTTCAGTTCCTCAATAAAGTGTTCATTACTTCTGTCCAAATCGGCCAAAACTTGCAATTGTTTTACCATCTAAAAAACACAAATTCAAATTCAAAATCATATTCAAAAACATAATTTCATCACTTGAAATTGTCACATTCATTAAACTCTACTATTCATTAGAACGAAGATGTTAACTTATCGTAGCTCACGTAGTTCCAACTAACTATGCCAGCCGAGCTTAATTTAGCTCACATAGTTTCATGCAACGCCAAGCTAAGAAAATACGTATAAGTAGTGACGTGCTCCACCATAGATAATACACTATGCTACACAATGGATACGTGCGGGAGTGAAGGGCATCAGAAAGGCAACCTATTTTGTTTAACCGAGTTCAAAAAAGAAGGAGGTTCTCAATTTGACTAATGTTTTTTTGTATGTTTTTTGTTTGCGATAACTCTGGCCATTTGTGGCCCGATTTTGATGACTATTTTTAACTGAAAAGAGGGTACCTCAGCAGTGGTGCCATTTAAATTTGGAGAAAATATTCCACCTCTACGGGTGGCAAACTAGGGGATGAATGACATTTGAGGTCGGTTTTTTTACTGAGATCATTTATTAAATTAAATTAATGAAAAAAAAAACATTAAATTTGGAGATCTTTATGTTGTTTGAAACGGATATTTGACAGCTTGCCATTTAGCCACGTTTTAGTTTGTGGACGGCAGCGAGCATCATTGTCGTTTTCCAAATGTGGCCTTATTACACAAAATAGCGCAAAGTTGTTAGAATTAATGGGTACGTTCCATCGAGTGTATAACCAGAAATAGAAACGAAATAAGGGCCATCCAACCCTGGCAACTCATCAGGCAAAGGGGCCTTATGACACTTTTAAATATCAACTCTCGTTTGCGCTGAAATCACAAATTAGAAAGCTGAAATAGTACAGCGCCAACAACTGACCCGTGTGTACGTCTCCGTATATTCCAAAAATATTATGTATTTATTGTAATAAAGATAATGAATATCTCTAACAATGGGGGCGGTTCAATTCGGTGGTGTGGGAAAAACAGCAAAACATCTAATTACAAAACAAACGGAATCACATTTAATCCGTAATTAAATATTAAATATGTAATTTGTCAATTTTCGTCCATTACAACAATGCTCAAGTTAAACTATTCGATTTGAAGTGAAACAATTGACGACACCCGTCATTTGTTTCATTGTCACTGTAATGATTGGGCAGAATAGTTTTCAAACAAATTAAATGACATTTCTGGTTATATACCTGATATATCTGGTTATATATAGCCTGAACGTATACGTTTTATAAGATAAAGTAATTTAAAAAAATATCTATACAACCTGTAAGTATTTGTTTGCCTGTCGTTCAAAAAACTTGATGGTAGGTCGGGAAGTGTAAAAGCCAGTCCAGTAGCCAACTTCGGTCGAATATGGAAAGAAATCGTCTTGCTTGATTGGTAATGTTGGTCTGCAAATTGAACATTAATTTATAGGTAAATGTAGGCCATACAAATATTTCTCCCGACCCGGGAATCGAACCTGGGACCTCTGCATGGCAGTCCGGCATGGTAGCTGTTCGGCCACGGAGGCAGTTAATGTAGCAGTTTATGTAGTAGTTAATATGTGATATTATAAAAAAAAAAACCTACATAGAAAATTTTACAAAAAGAAGACTTCATTTTTATTTTAAAAGCAATTCGAACTGCATTTAAGGATTTTGAAATAATCCCGTCTGAACCGGGAATCGAACCCGCCAAATGTGAAAAAAAAAACACCTGTACTTTTACTATACTGATCGAAAGCCTCAATCATAAGGGTGGGTATGCATTAGGTTCGCGCACCAACTCTGCTCCGCGCATCTGCAATTGCTCCACAGTTTTCATTTGAACGTTGAGTGAACACGAATGTTGGTTGGCTCATGTCCAGGAACACACACTCGCAAAAATCGCCAACGCGCGCAGCGTGCAACGTTGCTTATGAACGTATCCACTAATGGAACAGTTGCAGATGCGCGGAGCACAGTTGGTGCGCGGACCTAATGGATACCCACCCTAAGGATTGTTTTCGTCTAAATAACGTGGCATCTTAAATAAAAGGAAGACTATGAAATTTAACATTTAAAATAAAATATCTGTAATAAACATATTAGGCAAACAAAACATGGCGTATACAAAAAAAATTAAAAAAGAATACAAAGTGAGAAAACCTATAAGTATAATTATATACATCTATGAAATCAATCGATCAATGAACTTTTAATTTAAATACGCCTGTAACTTGTGTTTGCATATTGCTACAGATTTAAATAAATTTATTTAGGCCATTTACAGACAGTCCAAAGCCTGTTAAAGTATGTAGGGAAGCTCATTGATTTATCTTATAAAATATCTATTTTTGATTTATAGTTACAAACCATAAAAAAGCCGTAGCCTGTTCATAGATAGACATCGAGTATATAACCAGAATTAGAGACGAAATGTCATATAATTTGTTTGAAAACTATTATGCCAAATCATTGCGGTGACAACTGCGCTCCGATTGGCCAACCCGAATTTGAAACAGTTGGCGGGTGTTGTCAGTTGTTTCACTTAAAATCGATTAGCTTAACTTGAGCTTTGCTATTATGGACAGAAATTAATTAAATTTGTTTTAAAATTAAATGTTTTGCTGTTTCTCCTACACCACCGAATTCAACAGCCCCCCATTGTTAGAGATATTATCTTTATTACAATAAATACAGAACATTTTTGGAATATACGGAGACGTACACACAGGTCAGTCGTTGGTGCTGTACTATTTCAGCTTTCTAATTTGTGATTTCAGTGCAAACGAGAGTTGATATTTAAGGGAAGTACTGCTATTCCTACTGCCAGTCGGCCGAGCAGTAATTTACATAGCACAACGAACTATGTCAGATCAATTAATACAGTAAAAGTGATTAGTTAGCGTCAGCGTGCCAACTATAGGATATTACCCGTAGTAATATTTCAAATCATCAGTAACTCGTATTTTAATATATTTTCAATTTTCTGCTTATCTATTCGTTCAGACGTTAATCGTTGGTCGTAGTCCAGCTGCTGGCCGCACGATGGCAGCATGTTGAATTGAACTTTGAACGATATAGAGACTGGGTAAAGTTTAAAATTATATAAACAATCCAGAATTTGTTACATTTTTTAAATTAGAAATTATAACCATATAGGTACGATACGGTAGCTGCGGAAATTCTGCGTGAGAATTTTTCAGAAGACGCACGATCTCTTTTTTGTTTCGGATGTAATTTGTGCTAGACACGAGATTAACTGCTACATTGGCATAGCGCACTAAATGCTAAATTTTAAAGTGTTAAAATTATAGCAGATCAAGGTCGTGTGATACTGTAACGAATGGCAAGAAACGCGAAATAGTCGATGCTAACCTGCTAAGTGACGGCATCTATGGTCTATCTATGAATAGGCCACGGTTTTTTTATGGTTTGTGACTATCATCGAGTCTATAACCAGAAATAGCGACTTATCATGCAAATGGGCCTTATATCACTTTTAACTGCTTCCATGGTCGCACGCCGATGCCGATTGCCACACAGAGGCCCCAGATTCAATTCCCGGGCCGGGAGGAATATTTGTGTGGTCTACATTTATTTCTCTTGTGAGTTAGGTGTAATTTGTGGTTGTCTATGTGTGTGTCCATGGTACCCGCGACACAGGGTTTCCTAAGTGCGGCTATGTTGGAGTGTGAGCTTTATCATTACATACTCGGAGTCCATGACAGCTTTTAAATAACACGTCGGTGTGGAGTAATACAAAGTTATATTCATTTCCTCAAGGGCTGCCTTGGTGTTGCCATTTCTGAAACAAATTATTAATGAGTCACGTATAAATACAATATTAAAAACAAGACAATACAGCTGGATATCACTCCAACATCATGGTTTTCTCGGCTCGAAGTCTCACAATTCCTCCTGTGTAGCAAGCAATCCGATTTCGACATGCAATGAGAGTAGGTTCCTTGGTTTCACTCTGGACTCGAACCTTAACTGGAAGTGCCATGTTGACAGACTGTGTGATAGACTGAGTGGTGCAGTCTTTGTGTTGCGTAAACTGAAATTGCTCATTTCTGACTCTGCATTAAGACAGGTCTATTTTGCACATTACCACTCGATGATGTTGTACGGTTCGCTCATATGGGATAACTATAACTAAACTAAATAACTCCACGGATGCCGATAGAGTCATGCTAATGCAAAAACGTGACGTACGCGTATTGGTTGGGGTAAAACACCCTTTGAAAGACCTTTTATTGAAAAATCCTTTATACTCTGTAAATGAATTTATGGACCTAAAATTGTAACGATATTGAGTATTTTCTATTTTATTCTAATTTTTACCGCACTGACATACTCTTGTATAATTGTTATCAACTAATGACGATACTTGATGGAGAATGATATTCGATACGCAATTTAATGACAACGATATTATTTAATGAATTGTTAATTATCTAATTGTTGTGTATTTTTCATTATAATTGATCTCAATATAATTCCTTCTACTTTGACATGTAGTGCAATTTATACTGTAATGTTATATTTGTGAAATAAATTAATCTTAATCTGAATCAGGGTTATTTGAAATACACTAACAACCTCGCAAGACTATATTACTATAATCTGTATTTTTTTAAGACTGAGTAAAATGGCAGTTAATTGCGCAAAAGTGTTGCCCGCTTGCGAGCAGCTAGTGATTTCAGTCCAAATTCTTCATTCATTTCGGCTGCTGTAAACCATGAAAGGAAAGCCAGGAGAAAACTTTCGAAAATTATTAAAAACTTGTAATCAATAATTATTTCAAAAGCAACGTCTCACTCTCACTGTCACAACTCTTAATAATCAGCTGTTGATGTACGCACGTTCAAAAATCAAGTAATAAAAGAAACAAATACAATCTCTAAATGATTTCTTAATTTTTATACCATTATCAATTTTAAATGTTGTCAATTCAGTTATTCATTGGCAACATTTTATCTTCTTTCACAATCTATCAATAAAACCATCGACAACACTACATAACTATTTAAAATTTTATGAAAACTGGCAACCCTACAAATGTAATTTTACTCAGTCTACAAAAAAGGCAGACTATAACATTATAAATAAACAATAAGTTTTGTTCCATGACTTTGTATAAAATTTAATAAATTAGGAATTAGAAATTACAATTGAGAGGAATAGAACTGATGGTCGTTGGGGCAAATAGGTTTTCGAATGGATATCACGAACCGAAATTCGTTCAGTGTGATGGCCCCTTACTAGATGGACGGATGACCTGGTAAGGGCGGCGGGAAACCGATGGATGCACGTCGCGTCCGACTGGCTAGTCTGGCAATCTTTGGGGGAGACCTATGTTCAGCAGTGGACGTCTCCCGGCTGATATGAACTGTCTCCGTGGCCGAACGGTTACCATGCCGGACTGCCACGCAGAGGTCCCAGGTTCGATTCCCGGGCCGAGAGAAATAGTTGTATGGCCTACAATTATTTCTCTCGTGAGTTTGGGTGTAATTTGTGGTTGTCTATGTGTGTGTCCATGGCACCCGCGACACAGGGTTTCCCTAGTGCGGGGCTATGTTGAGTGTGTGCGTTATTTATGATATGACGATGATAATAGATTATATAATATATAGTCAGTTCAGATGTGTAGGCATCCTCCCCGAAATTCCCCACTCTCCTGCGTTTTGCATCGGATAAATATATACCAATATACGCTAGCGCTTTCTTTTATTATGAAATCTCTTTCTTTTGCTAACCTCTTTCCAAAAAAGGAGAAGGTTCTCAATTAGACTATGTTTTTTTTTGTATGTATGTTACGCGATAACTCGAACTTGAGAAGAGGGTGCCTCAGTAGCGGTCCCATTTGTGAAGAAAATATTCCACCTCTAAGGGTGGCAAACTAGGGGATGAAAGTTGTGATCCCGGATTCGAACCGTTGCCCTCTACTTGAAAGGCGGTAAAGCAAACCATTAAGCTATCATGGCTTCATTATTTCACAAATAACCTTGAATATTTCTGTTTTTAATAGACTTCTAAAAGGGACGTGTTTTTCAACTCTATAATGTCGGTTGTCCATCAGGATCTCAGGGCGCTCTTTCACCGAGAGCATTCAGCGGTGAGGGAGGTGTACCAAGCATTCATTGCGCAACACTTGTAACATTCGGTAGCCTCCTCCACCGGGGGCATTCAGTATTGTAATGATCTATTCAGCAGGTTCATAGGCACTCGAAGGCACTCGCAAGCACTCAAAGGCACAAAGTAGCGGTAGAGTTCTTTGTGAAACAGTTCGTCCAGGGAAGTACTGCCACCTTATCTATTTCTGCCGCCAAGCAGTAATGTCAGCATTACTGTGTTCCGGTCTTAAAGCGTAAGTAAGGGTGCTGGTGAAAGCACAGGCACATGGGACTTGTCAACTTATGTCTCAGGGTGACGGGCGCAGTGGCAGTGCCCCTCTGATCTTTGCGATTTAAAGCTCTGAGTGGCACTGCAACTGTTATGAACAGGCGTGTAGATTACCATCAGGCGCACGACTTGTTCGTCCCGTCACTTGATATTATAAAAAAGGCACAAAAATTACTTAATTGAAAGAATCATTTAATATTAAGTTATATTTATAAAGAATTGATAATACATTACTACATTGACTTACAATTATATGGACGTCGGGTCCGCGCTAAAAAGTGTCCGAACTTATAGGGCGTTAAAATCGTATACAGAGCGTCATTCACGCTCTAGTCTTCGTTTGTTCGACTGACAGCGAAGCAAGCAAAATTAGACAGTACTGCGATGACATTACAATTTAAATTCAACGTGTTAGCTTTTTCATATTCCTTTAAATGTCACTACGTTTAAATAGGTTGACTTGGGACATTTTTTTCGTGGTTTTTGTATTAGACCCGTCGTTCATTTATTTGTAAGCCAATGCATTACTATGAACACCATACTCACTGAATAAGCTTATCTAAGTTGCGGAAAACCATGCCAGCATCCTGGAACTTGAAATCACCGCCAAACGGCACCAGGATGTTGTTTGTACGGTAGTAGTTAGCTTGCTTTTGCACGTAATGTAAAAACAAGGATGTCTGCAATTTAAAAAAAAACCGCAAGTCCATACATGTCTCAAATAATTATTAGTTTTTTTATTTAAAAAAACCGTCCTCATAAGTTTGAGGAATTACATCTACTTATTTGTTAAGTTTTATTAAAATCGGTGATCGGAAATTGGGTGAAATCCAATAAACCAAATTCATTCCCTAATTTGCCACCTTATGAGGTGAAATATTTTGTTCAAATTTGAATGAGACCACTAGTGAGGTACTCCCTTCGAGTATATAATCAGAAATAGAGACGAAATAAGGGCCCATCCCTGGCAATTCATGATCAGGTAAATGGGCTTTATAGCACTTTTAAATAATAACTCTCGTTTACGCTGAAATCACAAATGAGAAAACTGAAATAGTACAGCGCCAACAATTGTAATGTATATTCCAAAAATATTCTGTATTTATTGTAATAAAGATAATATCTTTATCAAGGGAGGCTGTTCCGTTCAACGGTGTGGCAAAAACAGCAAAATATGTAATTGCAAAACAAACGGAATTACATTTTCATCGGCAATTAAATATTAATTATGTAATTTTGCAATTTTCGTCCATTATACCAAAGCTTAAATTAAACTGGTAGATTCGAACTCGGGCTGGCCAATCGGAGCGCAGTTGTCACAGTAATGATATGGCAGAACAGTTTTCAAACAAATTAAATGACATTTCGTCTCTATTTTTTTTTTTTTTTATGGTGACTCGGCAAAATGACTGCACCGCGCCTGATGGAAAGTGCGAATACAGTCCAGAGATGAGAGTAACGGATGGAAAACACAAATATCTTCACTCCGTCACTATCATTTTGCCGGTCTGGCCAAATGCTTCTTCACACTACGTTTGAAGGACCCGATGTTATAGAGGGGAGGGAATACATGCGCCGGGAGTTGGTTCCACCATTTGATGGTTCGGCATAAAAACGAATTGCCAAACTTTTTAGTGCGGGACGGTATTGAACTGACCGTCCATCTGTGGCAACGCAGTCCGGCACGGGTGGTCCGCTGATGGAAAGGAGAGGAAGGGATAAGGTTGAATAACTCTTCAGAGCACTCACCGTGGTACAGGCGATAGAATACGCTAAGAGACGCTATATCTCTGCGAAGCTGTAACGACTCCGCATGCTCAGTTACATGAGGATCGTTGACAACACGGAAGGCGTAGCGCTGCAGTCCATCTAGGGCATCGAGCAAGTACTTGGCAGAGCCGTCCCAAAGGTGCGAACAGTACTCCATGCTGCTTCGGACCTGAGCTTTATACAACAGGTATCGCAGCTCTGGAGTAAAAAATCGGTGCACCTTGTTCAGGATGCCAAGCTTGCGCGACGCGGTACAGATGACGCTCTCGATATAATCTTTGTTGCTCATGTCCTTCCGGATGCTCATCCCCAGCAGGCTGAGCTTGTCCTGCAGCGTCAGCGTTGTACCCTGAAGATGGGGAAGTGGAAGGAATGGGGATTTTTTGGAGCTGAACGCGCATACCTGGGTTTTCTTGGCGTTGAACTCAACCAAGTTTCGGGAGCCCCACGACAATATATGTTCCAAAACAACTTTCAAAAAAAAAAAATTCTGGTTATATACGCGACTAGTACTCCCTTTCCAACAAAAAAAATCATCGATAATGGTTCACAAAAGTCGGAATAATCGCGTAATATAGGTACACACAATAATCTCAGTACAGAGTACCAAAAAAACCGACCTCAAAAGCACGTGGAAGTACATATGTATATACATACCTTTGTATATGTCCTTTATAACTTGTGTTTCATGTATCTTTTCTTTGTGCAATAAAGAGTTATTATTATAATTACCTAGTTTTATTGAAATCGGTTACCGGAAAGCGCGCAAACCCGGATTCATCCCCTAGTTCGCCTCTATACGGGACTTGACACAGGAGACAATAAAAATCGGATCTCACTACTCAAAGTATATTCATAAAGAAAAATGCCTTGAATTGGAGAATAGCAAAATCAAAAAATCGTTAAAATAATGGCTCCTTGTAATAAAATTTAGGAGCTATTTATAAAAATCAATCTTCATGCGTGAAACCTCCTCTTTTTTTGAAGTCGGTTAAAAATAATTTTGTTTAGGATATCAAGTGACCACCAAGCTCGCTGTGATAAACAGGCGGGCCGGGTGCTGCGGGTCGAATGCGTGACGAACACGGGGCGGGTGCGAGCGCGGGAGTTCTATTCCATTAGGGCTCGTGCAGCGCGCCGGCGAGATTTCGCGACTGCGGTCGCACCGACTCGCTGCGACACGTTTTATTTCACATGTATAGAACTAAATGGCTTAGTGCAGCGTGTCCGCAACTTGCGACCATTTATCGTGAGACTGGCAGCGATTAGTCGTCGTAAGTCGCTTGCGACTACTACTAGACGATCAATGATCTCCTGTATCGTCCGCGCGGACGCCACACTTCACAAAACTAGACATTATCCATTTATTATCATTTACGTATTTCTATATAGTTATATGTACAACATTGTTATATTTATATTTATTATTGTATTATTATTACTATTTCTATTACTCTCGTAGGTTTGCTATCTCTTTAGGTTTACTTCTTTTTCGATTTCATTATCATTGTCAGTGACTCACTCGCCCGGGCTTGCTGAAAATCAGTGCCACGACACGGTAAACAAACCGGTTGTGGCTAAAGCTGAGCAAGTCCCGTTTGCACTAGTCGCGACACGCATGACGATGAATTACCTGCATATTTTGTATTATTATTGTTCCTCAATGTCCTTTTGTTTTTATTATTATTTTTGTTTTTTGTTTATATGCGTGTTTGTGATTGTGCAATAAATGGCTTTCTAAGTTTCTAAGTTTCTAAATTAATGTTTCTATTATTATTAGATCCTTACATAAATAATTAAAATTATAATAACGGACCCAGATAGATTAATTGATGCAGTTCGTAATCGCCGCAGAATATTCATTGAATGAATATTAAATCTCCTTCTTTTTATCCTTCCTATTGCACGGACCCGTAAAACGGAATTTTTAACACTATATCCATTTTCCCTATAGGTACGATAATCATTCGAAAATTCACTAAGCTATCAGTCGGTCGCCGGTAGTGTTACGTCGCTAGTCGCCCGCATGCTGCACTGTATTTCGTCGTTAGAAGTCGTTGCGAGCCGATGCGACCGCAGTCGCGACATATCGCCGGCACGCTGCACGAGCCCTTATGTTCTATGCAAGCGTCCACACAGACCCGCGGGCTTGGGTTTTTATTAAGTTTCAATATGAGTTCGACCGAAATTTCTTTTGCGTGGCGCTTATAAAAGTACAGAATTTTCTTGATCTTTATACGACAGCGATGTGGTTTTTTTTAATAATAATAATAACGCACACACTCAACATAAGCCGCACTTGTGCACTGTGCCACGGGTGCCATGGACACACACACATAGACAACCACAAATTACACTCAAACTCACGAGAAAACTACATGTAGGCCATATAAATATTTAAAATCTGTTTAGAAAATGAAACGTGGCTACTTTTGGTATCACACTGGCCGCCTTCGCTCTTCTATTCCGCCACGAACTACCCTTGGGGCTGCTGTATGCCACGTCCCGATATGTATTCGGAGGGAGTCGATTCAGAAACTTACGATAACTCAGTTGTCGACCGATTTCTTTTCATTTTTATTCACAACACCCGAATCGAACGTCAAACTGTCGTATTCAAAACCGAATGACGTCACACCCGTACGATTACTCGAACTTATCGACCGGCAAAGGCTACAAACGCTATTCAGAACTCAGTTATCGAATGAAAGTTACGGAACGTCCTATTGTTTACAAATTCTGTTAAAATATCGAAGAGTTCGGAATCTGAGCTTAAAAATTGCGAGGAAGGATTCGAATTCATGACGAGAGGTGTTGGCCAAACCGTTAAGCTATCACGGCATTATCGTTTATTACAACAACTCACCTTATTATCGACGTTAAATGCTGGGGAGAATTTGTCATCCACCAGCGGTTCATCGTGACATAAGTCATCGAAACAAAAACCTGGAGGCGACATGTAACCGTTGGACAGTACTGTTGTGAAAATATCAGATGATTTTCCTGTACATAAAAAAGAAACCGCTATCGCTATGTTATAAATGAAAGGCATGGTGGAAGTGTTCGTCAAAATAAATCATATGAGCCCAAACATAGGATAGATGCTGTACACTGTTCAAAAGGTCCTCTCCCAGTCATTTTTGGTGACTGTCAGGATGGCTGGTTGCCTGTGGCGTCTGGCACTGAGTGTATAATCAATAACTGCTACTATTTGCGGTAAAAGGTATTTTCTAAATAATTATTGACCAGTCATTCTAATATCATG